TAAAATATATGTAATAGAAGTATTATTCAAAGGTGGTTTTTTTTTTTTAGGTGGTTGCATTTACGTGACGTTTTTCTGCTCGAAGCTTTTGTAAACTGCTTTGAATGATCTGCATCTGTGAATTTGGTGAGCATAACCCAAAAGTTTTAATCCTACTTATTTATACTTGTCATTTTACCTTAGTTTTTGGTTGTTTAAAGGGGTCATGCCATGGATATTTGATTATTCTGTTCCTTGAGGTTTCTTATAATGAAATAGAATCTGACAATACAATACATATCACAATACAGGGGTTATGATACAATATATTGCAATACTGTAAGAAATAGGGCTGCACGATATTGGAAAAAGCTGACATTGTGATATTTAAAAAAAAGTATTTTTTAGTATTTAATTATCCATTATTTCTTTTGAACAAAACGGTTTCAGAAATGTCATGTTTTAGATTGTAGGTCGTCTTGTACACTGTCAAGGACAAAGCTAACCAGCAAAACTTTATATCAAAAGCATCCTAAATGTTACATGTGTTTGCACCATATTGTAGTGATTAACCTTTCCTGGTATTGCTGTTTTAAATAGCCCACCATAATCTGTAGTCTGAGCCTGTCAAGGGCTAATGGCAATTGCAAATATGTTACTAGTTAGTTTAAAAGAAAATGATTTGAATCATTTTCAAATAATGTTTAATGTTTTTTTTTGTTTTTTTTTGGCCAAAAAAACCCCTGCGTGTCCTCCACCCCCGGAAAAAGTTCAGGCTTAGGATTTTTTTTGCTTTAACTGATGTACTAGTTTTGAACCCTTTTTCATTGTATGCCTTTACAAATTGCATTTCAACTGTATGTTTACATGTATTTTTCCCTCTTTTTTTCTCTCAGATAAATGCTGAATTTAAACGAATTACAACAATGTCCCTACAATCCAGATTTTTGTCTCAGTTAGATATGCTGTCTGACAAATTTCTAAGAGTATTTAAAAAGCGAGGAGGGCAAATGGGAGGAAGACTGCAGACCATCATGGAACCCATGGCTCAAGTATGTTAGAGATTTTGTTTTTGGTGTGTACACATTTTATTGGGGAAAACACTGATCTATGACTTGGCTGGACGTAAAAAGTGCATTAAGTCAGTTTGGAATAACAATATGGCCACTCGAACACTTCCGGTGGCTTAACCACCTGCTGGGAGTTTAGGATTCCATGAGCAATCCAGTCATTTATATAGATCAGTGGGGGTAAAAATTTATATTAAAAAAAAAACCTCTGCTCTGCTTGTCACCCTTGGCCAGGACGATGATGTCGATATTGGACGAGAATGTATTATCAAGGGGCTCTGCGTATACCTCAACGAGGATCCAGACAATTTAGTGAAAGAGTATGTGGTAAGTACAATTTATAAAGGTTCATTCATTTAGATCTGTCTTTCATAAAAAAATAATTGCATAAAAAAAA